GGGGAGAGCCTCCTGGTCCTCCTGCCCCAAGCTCCTTATTTGTGTTGCTTTATTCTTGTTTTGTGCTGAGGCTGGCAGTGAGCACTGACCAACAATTATTGTTAGCATTTGCCCACCAAAAACTGGGATGTGGAAGATGACAGCAGCTCGGATATTTGGCACGGCCAGGAACCTGTGTGAACCCAGGGATGAGGTGAGGCAGCCTTTACAATTCACTTGTTGTGAGCTGCCCTTACCCGGACCAACAGAAATCAGAGCTGGATGGACAGAAATCAGGTTTAACATTTATTGCCACCACGGTTTCCAGCAGGGTGCAAATGTACCCAAACCCCAGCTGGACCATGGCAGCAGCAGAACCTTCAGAGCCAATTCTGGGCTCATCTCAGCTTTTCTGGACTTCACTCCTTTTTGCTTCAGCTTACCACAGTTAAGACAGTGATTTTTAAAGGCTAAATTTAATTTCTTTCTATTATTTCTAATATGAAACATGAAACAACTTATTAGTAAAAGAGCAAATCAAGCTTGTAGGTTAGAGCAAAGCCCACTCCCTGCTCTGGCATCCAGCACAGCAAAAGCAGCCTCCCATGCACTGCTGATTATTTTTCTGGCTCCAGGCATGCAAACATAAACAATAAAATCACCCAGAGCCTTTTTAGAGATGCTGTGACTGCACAAACTGTGAGCTCACCAAAGGAAAGGTGAGTGTTACAGGGATCCAGTTTTATTTCAGTTTTCTAGTTCCATCTCTAGTTTTTTAATCTCCAGGAACAGTTTCTGTATTTCCAGCAGACTTTTCACTTTTTCTACAGGCACACCGCAATCAAAGGTCGATTTAATGTAATGAACCTCTTGACACACATCAGCATCACCTTCTTTCATCTGTTACACAGGAAAACAAACCCCAGAGAAGCCTGTGAGGATGGACTGCAGCAGACACAGAGCCACCCACTCCTCAGCTGTGAGGCTGCCCTGTCCCAACAGGGGCTGCATCCTCCTCAGGACCAGAAATGAAAAGCTTTTGAGAAGTTTAAGCAGCTTTCATGTTAGAAATCAGGCAGCATCCGCTCAGAAACTCAGCCTCAACCTGAGGCTCTGAGCACCTGGGAAGGTTGAACCATGGCAGGGTGGGAGTGGATGGCCTTCAAGGCTCCCCCCAGCCCAACCATTCTGTAATTTTGTGGTACTCACACACTTGGGCAGTGGTGTCCAGCTGCCATCAGGCAAGCACGTGGCTGTCCAAGCATTTTCCATCATTCCATCCTCTGGAAACTGGTAGCCAGGGAGGCACTCCAAGGTGACAGTCTCGTTGGTCTGGTACCAGCTTCTGTCACCCAAAGGGCTCTTCAGCCTTCCAAAGGGCACTCGTGGCTGTGGACACAGGACTGGAAGGGAAACCCAGGGCAGAAGCTGCTCAGCCAGAGGTCAGAAAGGAGTTTGGGCTGGCTGAGCCAGTGCAGAGGAACTCAAAATGGTGGAGCTGTGAAATCAGAAATGCTTCTCTTCAAGAAGAGGGTGAAGGTCAGAGCAGCCCCTGCGAGGGGCTGTGAATTCCTTATGGATTTGCTGTTTCTGGCACTGCCTCAATCCAGGTACGGTGGGGATGGACATTTGGCAATAAGGGAAGGGAAAACCAGTGAACTCCTGACCTGTCTTAGACCTCCTTTACACACAGCTGTGAATAAAAACTCAACTGTTACCTGGAAAACTCCAGCTTTGGGAAAGTTGTTTCTTCTGCAAGGAGGGGAAGGACTCAGGAAGCTTCAAGGACAGACAGAGCCAGGCAATGCTGCACCCCAAGCCCTCTGCCCTGCCCCAGGGGCCACAGCTGAGCAGGGAGATTTTGGAAGCACCCCTAAATGCCATCACATTCACAGTAGAAGGGCAGAATTTCATTCACCCATACCACAGCTTGTTAGTCAATCACTACATCCTCCTGCCATGGGGGTTTGGGACACTGAACTGAAAGGAAAATGCACATTAAGAATCCAGGAGCAGGAGGTGGAGGAGAAAATGCTCACTCACCTGGCTGGCAGGTGGGCAGGGGCGGGTGCCAGGTGCCATCAGCCTGGCACTGGCTCTGGGCAGCACCACGCAGCCCGAAGCCTTGCTCACAGGAGAAGTGCAGCAGCAGCCCGTAGGGAAAGGTGAACGTCTGTGGGGTCATCCTGCCCCTCTCCACCACGGGCTTGGGGCACCGAACCACTGCGGGACAGAGCAGAGCTGGCTCTGGGGGCTGGGGACAGCAGAGCCCGGGCAGGGCTGATCCTCCCGACCCCCTGATGGCCCCCGGTGAGGAGAACCAGGGTCTGCCACTTCCAGAGG